GTAGGCCCAATTTACGAGTGGTTGAAGCCAGGTTCTTACCCGCGTGTTTGTCTTCGGTTTGGTCGCAGAACAGAAGAGAGAGCGAGAGAAACAAAAAATGGGGGGTGGTGGTGGGAGCAAGAAAATATTGGTGGGTTTGGTGGTGCTGATGCTTTTTGGGGTTGCCGTGTACTTGAAGCTTTGGACCATCGACTATACCGTTTCTTCCGACGAAGCTGAGCTCTTGAGGTTTGCTTTGCTTTAATTCCCATCTTATCTCTCTGTCAACCTCAAATTTGTTTTTAAGGGTTCATGTTTTTATGAATTTTGTGAATGAATGAATGAAAAAATGATTGCCCTTTATATATAAGATAAATTTAAGCCCAAGTTCTTGCATTACTTCCCATTATAGTGATTCTGATGGCATAGTTGAATATCAGTTGTGAGAAAAGACAGAAACTTTCTTTTGATTCTTGAGCTAATTGATCATAAATCCTAAGTTGAGTTTCTGGGTTGGCTCCTATGTTTATATTTTGTAGTATATGATTTTACATGTTCGACCAAAAAAAAAAAAAAAAGAATTTACATGTACCCTCTGACCCTTTCATTTCTTGAGTTTCATATGTCAAAAAATTAGTAGTGTTTGCCATAAAATGAAATGGGATTTGGAGTGTTGATTTGGGTTTATAGGGTCGCGTTTCTTTGTTATTTCTATTATGATTTAAAGAATTTTTTTTAGTTAACTACATATATTTTTTCTCTCAAAATATGGTAGGCGGCAGTTCGACCTTGCTAATAGGGAAGCAATGGATGAATCTGCTGAGTGGAGGCTGAAATACGATGTAGAAGCAGAAAGGGTTACCGAGTGTATGAACGAACTCAAACAGGTCCGCACCTGATTTTGCCAATTCTTTTCAATTATTTGTCATGATTTGTTGTACAACTAGAGCTTCATATCTGTGTGTAGAAGACAGTATGTTGTCGCTGTTTTTCACAAATCTCATTGGAGCATAATTAGTGTGGCAAATTAATTTTCATATGCACTTTGGAGGGTGACTTTGCATGCTGAGAATTGCAAGGGTGCCAAAGCAAGATGTAGTCTTTGAAAATGATCGCTACATTGACCCAAAAGATAATTAAAACCACTTTTGAAACTATAGTATGGTTTTTATCATTTTATTTTTTGTATTCATGAGGTTTTGGCCAAAAATTGTAGAAGAGGGTTTGGGTCCAATCTTTGGAAGGGCATCCTGGAGTTGAATGACTTGTTAAAGAACGCTTCAGTCTGACAGCATGATCTTGTCAAGTAAATAATAAACCTTTTTCCTATATTTTTATTTTATTGTTTTGATGTGTTAAAACTGCTGGTCCAGATCAGGTGTTGTAATTGGCTTTCGTTTAGTATTCACTTGCACTGCTCCTCTCCGACCTCTCACCTACCAATGATAATAATAATTCTAAAGCACATTTCCGGTCCGGCCACCAGTCAAATTATTGCTTCAAATGTATCTTGTTGAATTTTGCACTGAACGGTGATAGAGCAAATCCCTTCATAACCATCGTATGCCCTCAACTAAATTACTAGGGGTCTTTAGCTGTTAATAGTAGTTGAGGCCCATATATCTGTTTTGGCATTTGATAAGCGGGTCTGTTCTTATTAGCAATAGTATGTATGCACAGAATTGGGAGCCTTTGTCTTTCCCTCCACCCCAGGGTAAGATTAGAGTCTCTGTGCCTATCATAATCATCTCTTTGTGGACCGATGAATTATTCGTTGTTCTCGCAGATAAAGGGGTCTTTTGAGGTGGATGATGGAAATGCTGCTAGCCTCAACCGGAAATTGGTGAATCTACAAAAGGTGAACCTTTTTTCCAGTATAAAATCTAATACAAAAATTATCATGATGTCTCATAACAAGTCCTATAACCAAGCAGTCAAAAGAGGGTAAGAACTAAAAGCTGTAAGATCCAATGCAATCTTTCTCTTTTTCATTCATCCACTTTTATGCAGCCCTTGGCAAACCTGGTTTAAGGAGCTAAGTAAAAACAATGCTGAGAATGGTTTGCTCATATTATATGACTTTAAAATTCAACTTATGTTATGCACCCAAGTATTATGCATAAACTGCGTGGTTTGATGTTAAATGAAAATCTGGTTTTTTTTCCTTTTCTTCTCCCTTGCTGGCTCTGATAGACAATGATATGTTAGTGTGTTTAAAAGTTCCTTTAGGTTTGAATCTTGTTCCTCTTCTTACAAGCCCTGAAATGCCCAGGAAAATATGGCCTTGGTTGAACGGATGGAAACCATGAAACAAGAGCTTGAGGCTGAGAAGCTGAAGTGCAGCTTGCAATAGGTTTTCTGATCATCAAGGGTCAAAAGCTTCAGCATAACCAAATTTACCTCATTTTTCATTATTGTCCAATCCATATGCTCTCCACCAAGAAACAAATTTCATGAGCTCAATCTCCATTTTGCAAATTTGCAACTTCCAATGGTAAGCACGAGAGACGTTTTTTTGCACGAGATGCACGTGGCCCCTTACAACTCTTAACTTGTGCTGCTTTCTAGGAAACTGAGAGGTGTTCGATAAAATGACTCTGCTTTTCTACAATGAATATACAATGACTTTTTTTCCACCTTTATTTTCTTGCATAGGAACCAATGTAAGTTGTTCAATCTTCAATTTATATTTTTCTTTTTCTTTTCCTGGAATGATTCCTTCTTGTAATAGATATCCAGGAATTTCGGACCCTGTAATTCATTTAATTGAAAGATGTGAAATTTTGGATGTCCGATTGTGTGTCTTGTACGCTTTTATTCAAAAGACTGTGCATGGTTTTCTTTGTTAAGTCAATTTCTCCCTTTTTCTTAAATAAAAATGTGCTTAGGCCAGTTGGCTAGGGCAATATACACACTCCTAACTTCCGAATCCTCTCTGTAGATTAGGGAAGGATTGTGTAGTTTAGAGAAGTTTAAATTATCGCATTGACAAAAAGGAAAAACATTTACTGTAGAGAGTTTCGCCTGGAACACCTGTCATGCGCTTTCAAGAGATGAATATCATTACATTTTAAACCCTGCTAAGATAGCTAGTCAAGCATTCACTTAAATTGTAATTATTAGCCACTAACCAACACTAAATACAATTACTAGTTAAGATGGCAATTAGATCATAATCATCTTTACAAGCAA